TGGGTTTGGATGACACTGTTATCACTACTTTAGAAACACCTCTTGTAAAGTAAGGCAAATCATAACTAAAGCCAAAATATTTCATTATTTCAGTTATACTAAATTTCCATTTATATTGTCAGGGCTAGGGCTCAGACCCTCCAAATCCATTGTACAGACTAGGTCCCCAGACACTTCACACACAGGTCCATGCTAGGTAATTGGGAAAGATTCTGGGAGCTGTTGGCAGATAACATGAGCTCAGTCGTCAGCTTCCTCAGTGGCAGCAGCTTACAGGTCCGGTAGCTTACAGGTCTGGCAGTGGCAGCGGCCTTGCAGAGGGTCCCAGGGGCCCTGGCAGCAACAGCCTCCAGTAGCAGTAGTGGCCTCCACATATCCCCCACCCATGGGGGGAGCATCCCAGGGATGGGAGGTGCCGTGGATCAGAGCCACTCATACTTAAGTCCATAACCCAGGAACCTGGGTGCACATGTGTGATTACACTAGACGACAACCAAGGAACACCTGAGCACATATGCCTGTTTCCTTCAAATGCTCGGCAAGATTCTGAACATCTGAGGGGCCCTGACCATTTTTCTATATTTTCCCAACACCTCCCCCGATGATACGTCAAACATGATGCTGTACATGCACTATCTTATCTAATCCTCACAATAACCCTTCAATGCAGGTGTTGTTATCCTCTCACTCTAGGGCTGATGCCCAGGCCATGCAGATACGGGGGGAAGATGATACGTCAAACATGATGCTGTACATGCACTATCTTATCTAATCCTCACAATAACCCTTCGATGCAGGTGTTGTTATCCTCTCACTCTAGGGCTGATGCCCAGGCCATGCAGATACGGGGGGAGGATCTGGGCCTCTGGCTCAGATCTGGCTGATTTCATAACCTAAACACCTAAACTTTGTGTACTCTTGGCTTCCACCACACATGTTCTGCTGCTTCACAATGAGGAAGAGGATGGCTCCTTGGTTTTCATAATCACTGATTACACAGTCCTGAGAATTCCCTAACGCTGGTATTTGACCTTCACAATACCCTGAAATCATTTGCTCCTCTTTTGCAGAGGAGCCAGAGTAGGCCCAAGTGGGGAACTAGCCTGGTGAGCTAGGGCTACAGAAAAAGCCTGGGGCTGGAAGTCCCACTGGTATCCAGAGACAAGCCTTCCCCTTTATTTACCTCTTTAATTTCTGTCAACATTTTGTAATTTCCAGAGTACAAGTTTGGCACTTCCTTTGCTAAGTTTATTATCAATTTTTAAATTATTTTTGATGCTATTGTAAATGAAATTGTGAGTGTATAGAAATACCGTTGATATTTGGACATTGATCTTGTATGCTTAACCTTTGCTAAACTCACTTATTCTTTCTATTTGTGTTAGTGGTTTCCTTATTGCTATGTGTTACATGTGTCTCCCAAAAGTTCATGCACTGGAAACTTGACCCCCATTGAAACAGTGTTAAGAGGATGAGCAATCCAGTTACAGAATTTGAAAGGTGGGGCATCCCAGTTGGCCCCTTTGCTCTGGGCCTGCTCTCAACCTACCTGTGCCAATGAGGGACCAGCAGGTAGGAAGAGCAATGGTACTTGTGAAGACAAACCCATTTATCAGAAAATCTTCTATGGGCATTCTAGGTGCAAAGTTCCCACGGTCCAGGGTAGAAGCTTGTCAGAGAGCAGATAAAAGTTTGCCTGGAGATGTTGAATAGGATAAGGATTTGATTATGAAAGAGGCAAGGACAATTTTTTAGTTATTTGACTGAGAATAACTTTGAGGGTTCCACAGACCTATGCTAAAACTCATCAAGTTGGATATTTAAATGTTAGTTCATACCACATCAGTCATACCTCAATAAATCTGTAAAGTTTCAGAGACGGGGAAAAAACAGATTTAAAAATCTCTTTTAAAAAATTTAATTTAATTTAATTTTTTATTGGTAATGAATATTCATTAGATACAAAGCTGGTTGTCCCCCCTCATGCCCTATATGTGAAGGCCAGATCCATGCTGTCAGCATGCCCATTACTACAATTGTGTTTGTACCCCATCTCCCCAATCCAATTATCCCCCAACCTCCCTCCCGCTTCCCCCCACTCCACTTTGTATCCCTAGATATGTTTTCTCGCTCTGCAAGTCCCACACACCACTGTGGTCTTTCTTTCCTTCCTTCTTTCTCTCTTAGCTCCTACTCATGAGTGAGCACATGCGGTATTTATCCCTCTGTGCTTTGCTTATTTCACTCAACATAAGTTTCTCCAGGCTCATTCATGTTGTTGCAAATGGGAGAATTTCATTCTTTTTTATGGCAGAGTAGTATTCCATGGTGTATTTTTACCACAGTTACCTTATCCAATCATCCATCAATGGACATTTAGGTTGGTTCCATATCTTGGCTATTGTGAACAGAGCTGCAATGAATGTGGGAGTGCAGGTATCCCTTTGACATGACGATTTCCATTCCTCTGGGTATTTACCTAGAAGTGGGACTGCTGGGTTACATGGAAGATCTATCTGTAGTTGTTTGAGAAAGCTCCATACTGTTTTTCATAGTGGTTGTACTAATAATCTTACAGAACACTTTTCTTTTTCTTTTTTCTTTCTTTCTTTTTTTTTTTTTTGGTGGCTGGTGGGTATGGGGATCCAAACCCCTGACCCTAGTGTTATAACATTGTGCTCTAACCAACTGAGCTAAAGGCCAGCCCCAGACCACTTTTGAAACAAGAATCATCTGTACTTGAGGCAGTGCCAGGATCCGATATCTTCACTTGCTGTCAAAAGACTGGCTGAAATAAGTGATATATGATGTCAACCTAAATAACAAAGAGAGAGAGGCTTTCAAAAGAGAAAATGATATTTATTTGAGAATAGGGCATTGCAATGGGAATACACATGCCAGAATAAATTATGTTTGTATTCAGGGAGGGAAAGGAATACAAAAGTTTTTAAAGGAAAAATTAAGAGGATTATAAGACTGTTTTGAGATAATTATCCTTGGCTACAAGGATGAATAAAAAAGGTGATGGACAGGCAGCTGCTGTGCAGATGTCCTTGAAGAAGTATTTTTTGTGTGTGTAAGGTTGTGATGGCCTTTGTACAAGTTTATGGTTTTTGCAGGGTCCTTTGTGATAGTTCTTGTTTCCAGTCATTTATATGTGAGATCCCTCCCTTCCTGGGCCTCCCCAGCTTTATTTGACAGGGTTTTCAACACATGTGATTCCATTTTGATTCTGACAACTTTCATTCTGAGAAGGACAGCCCCAGGGAATACTAATCACACATTTGCTCCTGTTTTCATCAGCAAAAGTAAAACATTTAGACCACCTAAGCCTAGCACCTCATCAAAATGCCCTCATGTAGCCACATTTTCTCATCATGTTCTCGATTACTTCTTAATCAAGAATTGATATAAGAAATGGCAATGTGAAATATATGTTAAATTTTTGCCAAAAAAAAAAAAAAGAAAGAAAAGGAAAGAAGGTGGAAGGAAATATATGGTAGGCAGAATAATGGTCCCCCAAAGATGTCCACATCCTAATCCCTAGAACCTGTAAACATGTTACCTTACATGGTAAAGGAGAATTAAAGTTGCTAACCAGCTGATCTTAAAATGGGAGATAATCTGGATTATCCATCCAGTTAGGCTCAATGTAATCCCAAGGGCCCTTAAAAGTGAAAGAGGGAGGCAGAGTAGAGGAGACAGAAGGCGATGTGACTAGGGAAGAAAGGCGCAGAATGATGCAACATTGCTGGCTTTGAAGATGAAGGAAGTGGCCACCCGCCAAGGAATGTGGGCAGACTCAGAAGCTGGTGGCTCTCCCCTAGAGCGGCCAGAAGGAACATAACCCTCAAGGTGCCAACACCACGATTTTAGCCTGGTAAGAACCATTTCATACTTCGACCTCCAGAACTGTAAAATAATGAATTTGTGTTGTTTTCAGCCACAATGTTTGTGGTAATTTATTACAACAGCAATAGAAAACTACTACAAAATCTTTCCCATGAGGTAAAATAGCACTGGCTTCATTTATTCACACAGTCACTTAATAAAAGTTGAAAACTCTCTAAGGGCAAAGCATTGTGTTGAGTGCCCTGTTGGGAACAAAGCAGGAACACATTGAGATGGAATTTGTGCCTGCTGCCCATGAATGTAGGTGTATCAGTCCACTTCTGTTACTTACAACAAAACACATGGAACTAGGTAACTTGTAAGAAAACGAAATTTATTGCTTACAGTTGCAGAGTCTGGGAAGTCCAAACTCCAGGGAACAGTTATGGTGAGGGCCTTCTTTAGTGGTGGCTTTTCAGCAACTCAAGGGTCTCACATGGTAGAAAATTGTGGAGCACAGAGAGAGAGAGGAAGACTCACATGCTCTCCTTTAAAAGCCCTTAGAACCACACCCCTGACCACCATTATTAATCCATTCGCTAAGGCATGGTCCTATAGTTGAATCACCTCTTCAAGGCCCCACCTTTCAATTACCCTAATAGGATTTCCCACCCTCTTAACACTGTCACAGTGGGGGCTAAGTTTCCACTGTAACATTGGGGGACACAATTTAAGCTTCAGTGAGTTTGGGAGTGGGGTGGGGAACATTCAATACACAGCCGTAGGTAACAGTCAGTGCAGAAAGAGCAGGAGAGGTGGTGCCTGCATGCAACAGAGGAGGAGGGATTTTCAGTCCTCTTTGGCCAAGAATAATGGGGGTCCTGCTGTCCTCTTCCCTCTACAAACTGCTATATTTCGTGGCTCAGACCCGGGGAAGGGTCTGTTTCATCACTTCTCTCCTATCTCAGAGAAATGAGATACTTCTGTTGTCACCCGCATCCTGGATTAGGTCTCAGGCCCCTTCCTCTAGTTATGAATGTGCACAGCATTAGCGAACCTCAGCCAGCCAAAGCGATAAACTTCAACCGGCCACAAGAGTGTGCCTGTGAGGTGACTACAGTTGTTTTTTTTTTTTTTTCTTCCTGCCAAACCAGAATTAGCCGGTCTAGGAATGAGCGAGCGTGGAGATTTGAAATGCACCGATTGGAAGAAAGCCCGGGCTAGGTTCGGGCATCTCCAAACGCACCCTTTTTAAAGCCACCCGGACTGAGGCGTGGAGCTTTAAGCTCCGCAAAAGGCTCCCCTGGCCTGGCCGCGAGCGGCCGACGAGCCCGGGAGCCCCGCGCCGAGCGCACGGAGCCGGGCGGAGAGCCGAGCCTGCCGCAGGCTCCAGCATCTCCAGGATGACAAGCGACATTGCAACAAACCACTACGCCCAGCCGCCCCGGGGGCTCGGAGCCGAGCAGCAAGTTCGGGGATCGGGGCCGGGAGCCGAGTGAGGCCGCAGCCCCGCGGACTGCGGGCGGTGAGTAGTCCGAGGCCGCGCGGCGCCGCGGGCCCGGGGGCTGGGGGGCGCTGGCGGCATTGCGGAGTCCGGGAATACTACGGCCGCTGCCCCCCAGGGACCCTCGCGAAGGGATGGCGCGAGGCAGGCTGCCCGGGCGGTGGAGGGCAGGGCTGCCTCCGTTGCGCTCGCGAAAGTCCCCAGGCTTCCTGCACACGGCGGGTCTAGAGGGCAGAAGTTCCCACGGAGCCAGACTGGAAGGTGACCGCCCGCACACCTGCATCTGATGAAGAACCTGCTGCCTGCGTGCCCTGTCCGCTGGGACGAGCTCGTGATTTAGTTTTTCCTTGGCCTCCCCTCTGCCCCTCCCTGATAACGAGCCCACCGCATGCAACGCAAGGACAATAGCCAAATTAAAACTGAGTGACTTGCTTGTAAACTTCCTCCAGTAACAGAGCTGTAGAAAATGATTTTGTTTTAATCTCTGATAGGCTCCAGAAAGATCTGTTGTTTCTCTTTCTGCCTGTCACCCCGTCCATAAGTAGCTGAGCCCCATTTCATGCCTACGTGTGTCACTTGACTCCCTCGCCCCTCCGTGTGTGATTTCCTTTTCACGGTTTAAGAACCTCGCTCCCCGGCTGCTCTCGAGGCCCCGGCTTGGGACTTGGACTGGGTAGTGATGGGTGGAGAGGGGCAGACCTGGGGCAGTGGCTGTGGACATTTGGGGCGCGCGTGGCTCTCCGCGCTGGCTGCGGGGACTGTGAACGGCCCGGCTTCCCCCGCGGAGCTGCGGGGTTGCGAGCGCGACGAGGGACGCGGGGTGCCCGGGGTGGGGATGCGGGCTCGGGGGGATCGGGGACGGGCGCTCGGAGGGCGGGGCGCCGAGGCCGGGTACCGCGGGGCACGCGCGGGGCGCACAGATGCTGGCCGCCCGGTAGCAGTTTTGGTCGAGGCTCCGCCAGGGAGAAAGAAAAGACCAGAATGGGGCGAGGGCCCGGGGACGGCCATTTCGGGGCTAAATGCTGCCAAGGCCATGACGACATGGTAGGAGCTCAACTCTGCTTACCAATTAAGCCGGGTTCTTTCTGCGGAAAAGTTGATTCAGGCTCATTAAGAAGGGTGACTGCGCATCATTACTGGGGATTAGAAAGACTCCCTTTCGCCTTGACTGGCGCGCGCGCGTGCGTGTGTGTGTGTGTGAGACACACACAGTGTGTGCATGTGTGTGAGAGACACACTGTGTGCATGTGTGTGACAGTGTGTGTGCGCGTGTGTGAGACACTGTGTGCATGTGTGTGAGACAGTGTGCGTGTGTGAGACACTGCATGTGTGTGAGAGACAGTGTGTGCATGTGTGTGTGAGACACTGTGTGCATGTGTGTGAGACACACTGTGTGCGCGTGAGACTGTGCATGTGTGTGAGACAGTGTGTGTATGTGTGTGAGACTGTGTGCATGTGCGTGTGAGACAGTGTATGTGTATGAGAGACACAGTGTGGTGCGTGTGAGACACAGAGTGTGTGTGCATGTGTGTGAGAGTGCGTGTGTGATACTGTGCGTGTGACAGTGTGTGCGCGCGCGTGTGTGAGACACACAGCATGTGCGTGTGTGACAGTGTGTGACAGTGTGTGCACGTGTGTGAGAGAGACAGAGTGTGTGTGTGTGTGTGTGTCGCGGGTGGGGGGTAAAATAAGCTTCGAACAATGCGGGCCTGGGTTCAGATTTGGGCTCCACCACCCGCTGGTTTGACCTCTCTGAGCCTCGCTGTCCCGATTCGACAAATGGCCCCGTTTCCTCATCTGTGACAATGGGGACGTGAATACCGATTGGGCAGGGTCGTTGTGGAGAAGCCACGCGGCACAGCCCCCGACCCATAGGAGGCATTTACGTGCTGGGTTCCTCCGGGTCGGCTGTGAGCCCGGCCCCCCGGCTNCTCGGAGCGCCGAGGCCGGGTACCGCGGGGCACGCGCGGGGCGCACAGATGCTGGCCGCCCGGTAGCAGTTTTGGTCGAGGCTCCGCCAGGGAGAAAGAAAAGACCAGAATGGGGCGAGGGCCCGGGGACGGCCATTTCGGGGCTAAATGCTGCCAAGGCCATGACGACATGGTAGGAGCTCAACTCTGCTTACCAATTAAGCCGTGTTCTTTCTGCGGAAAAGTTGATTCAGGCTCATTAAGAAGGGTGACTGCGCATCATTACTGGGGATTAGAAAGACTCCCTTTCGCCTTGACTGGCGCGCGCGCGTGCGTGTGTGTGTGTGTGAGACACACACAGTGTGTGCATGTGTGTGAGAGACACACACAGTGTGTGCATGTGTGTGCACGTGTGTGTGAGACACAGTGTGTGCATGTGTGTGCACGTGTGTGTGAGACACAGTGTGTGCATGTGTGTGAGACACACTGTGTGCATGTGTGTGACAGTGTGTGTGCGCGTGTGAGACACTGTGTGCATGTGTGTGAGTGTGTGCATGTGTGTGAGACACACTGTGTGCGCGTGAGACTGTGCATGTGTGTGAGACATTGTGTGCATGTGTGTGTGACACTGTGTGCATGTGTGTGAGACACACTGTGTGCGCGTGAGACTGCATGTGTGTGAGACAGTGTGTGCATGTGTGTGAGACTGTGTGCATGTGTATGAGACACAGTGTGGTGCGTGTGAGACACAGAGTGTGTGTGCATGTGTGAGAGTGCGTGTGTGATACTGTGCGTGTGACAGTGTGTGCGCGCGCGTGTGTGAGACACACAGCATGTGCGTGTGTGACAGTGTGTGCACGTGTGTGAGAGAGACAGAGTGTGTGTGTGTGTGTCGCGGGTGGGGGGTAAAATAAGCTTCGAACAATGCGGGCCTGGGTTCAGATTTGGGCTCCACCACCCGCTGGTTTGACCTCTCTGAGCCTCGCTGTCCCGATTCGACAAATGGCCCCCCGTTTCCTCATCTGTGACAATGGGGACGTGAATACCGATTGGGCAGGGTCGTTGTGGAGAAGCCACGCGGCACAGCCCCCGAACCATAGGAGGCATTTACGTGCTGGGTTCCTCCGGGTCGGCTGTGAGCCCGGCCCCCCGGCTTCTGAGCCTTCGCTGCTCCGGCCTGGTGGCCTCCGTTGCGCTCGCGAAAGTCCCCAGGCTTCCTGCACACGGCGGGTCTAGAGGGCAGAAGTTCCCACGGAGCCAGACTGGAAGGTGACCGCCCGCACACCTGCATCTGATGAAGAACCTGCTGCCTGCGTGCCCTGTCCGCTGGGACGAGCTCGTGATTTAGTTTTTCCTTGGCCTCCCCTCTGCCCCTCCCTGATAACGAGCCCACCGCATGCAACGCAAGGACAATAGCCAAATTAAAACTGAGTGACTTGCTTGTAAACTTCCTCCAGTAACAGAGCTGTAGAAAATGATTTTGTTTTAATCTCTGATAGGCTCCAGAAAGATCTGTTGTTTCTCTTTCTGCCTGTCACCCCGTCCATAAGTAGCTGAGCCCCATTTCATGCCTACGTGTGTCACTTGACTCCCTCGCCCCTCCGTGTGTGATTTCCTTTTCACGGTTTAAGAACTCACACTTGGGGACCACGGGAGGGTGACTGTTGGTTCCGTCATCTCCGTTTCCTTCCTTCACCTTCTTCAGGGTGAGGCTCCAGTGTCGCGTGCTGACCTTCCAGCAGCAGGCGTGCGGAGGTTACATTTCACGTATGGATTCTTAGGGGAAGCCTCACACGCGCTACCTCCATGTGCCCCAGTGTGCCACACGCATGTTGTCATTTTACATGTGTCGGGATGTGGAAAATGTCAAGGAGCTTGGAGACCATACAGTGGAGAAACCTGTGGAACCTGGGGGTCCAAATACCCTGTTTTAGGTCTCCCCCCTCCCTCCAGGTGTACAGTAGGATTATAATACTAAAATGATTTTTGTATCGTATAATTGCATAAATGCTAAAATGCTAAAAGCATACTTGGGCGTGGGGGGATAAACATTTTTATGTTTGTCTTTATTTATTTTAGTTAACGTAGTTGAGAGATAAGTTAACTGTGATTAATCAAAACAGTGATTACTTTAAGATGTAAGTGTGAAAAGTAAGTGACTGTAGTGCAGCAGATGTGTAGGGACCCCTGAGGATCTGCGAGAACGTCCTGTCGCCCCACCCCCACCAGCGCTCTGCGTTTCCACGTGCACGGTTGTGCCTTCTGAATAAAACTTGTCCATTAAGTGCTATTCAATGACATTTATTTATGAACAAATTGGAAATGTCAAGAGCAGTTGATGGCGACTAGATGTTCTCACGCATAAAATAAATAATTCAGTAAGAATATAAAGTTTTTCACATTGCTTTAGAAAAGTGCTTCATATTTCAACCCATGGGTTGAAAAACTATAACTTTTTTATTATTTTTATTTCAAAGCCTTTCTTAGTTATAAGTGGACTTTAGGAAAATGCCAAGTTGTGTTGTTTTATCTTGTTAAACACAGCTGAGCATGTCCCACAGATCGTAAGATGAGGTTATGATTCACATAGACCATTCACACCCCAGCTCAAGCTGCCCGGTTCTCTTCTTTAAGGCTCCTTGGGTTCTGCATAGGACTAGCAGGGACCGAGGGAAGACCACCCCCAGCCCTCTGAATGTGCTGATCCTTGGGCCCTTCTGATGGTGGCGCTCTTCCCTGAGCTGCAGCTTTGGAGATCAAGGGCCACCGTATCCCTCTCTAGCCCCAGGCAGGCTCATCCATCAGGAGCAGAGAGTGGGTGGCAGACACACACAGGAGCCTGGAGCCCAAGACAGACTAGAACACTTCCCAAGAGAGGTGGCTCTTGAATTGTCCGTCTGGTTTCCTTCTCTTTTACAATTTAGCCAGTAATTCACCTGGAGTCAAGAGGATCCAGATAATATTTAAAAGACAGAGAGAGACCTATATTTTCTCATAATAAACTTAATATGTCTACTTAGAAATTTTTTACCGATAAGTAAAACAAAGGGAGAAATCATCCAAAGAATAGTCTCCATCAATATTTTTCTTTGTTTCACTCCAGTCTTTTCCTATGGATATGTGATTTGAACAAACGACAAAGGGATTATGGCAAATGTCCCATTTTGTAACCACATGTATAGTTCACAGTTTATTTTATTTTTTTATTTATTTTGTTCCTTTTTTTGTCTTTTTTTCATGACCGGCAACGGATCGCAACCCTCAGTGTCGCGCCCGTACCGGACCGGGACCGGCAACGGGATCGCAACCCTCGGTGTTGCACCCGCACCTTGCTCAGCCAGTGAGCAGCCGGTCTGTATGTGGTATCCGAACCCTCGGCGGGAGCGCCACTGAGCTCCCAAGCGGCGCACTGTAGCAGTGCACTGTAGCAGTGAGCCACCTGGCCGGCCCATACAGTTTAGCATGACCTTCATTCCAGGTCTTCAAAGAGCCTTGGACAACTTTATTTTTGATGGCAGACTTGCCTTGTAATAGCTGTGCCATGATTGATTGATTGATTGATTGATTGATTGTACAAGTATTTTGATGTTGGATATTGGTGTTTTCAGGGGGTTTTTTTGGTTTTGGATTTTTTTTCCCCACTATTTCAGGGTTTCACTGTGATAATTTAGTTGAATCTTGAAGGCCAGGAGGTTAGAAGGAGAGGAGTGTGTTCCTGAGAGAGGGAAGGAGAGAAGTCACACACAATCCCGCAAGAGACTGTGCCAAGTTTAGGGAGCTGCAGGTGCTTCTGCAGGGCTGGAGGGCAAAGTGCACAGGTGGTGGGGGTTGGGGGGCACCAGGCAGGGACAGCGGGTAATGTGAGAGGGGAGCCTGGCAGCAGCCAGAGCACAGGAGCAACCCAGGCACCCAAGGTTGGGCAGTTTGGACTTGATCCTAATTTTGACTGAGGTGGTGGGGAGATTACAGAGTAAGCAAAGCATCTTATTGCTCCCAGCATCTGGCTAAGAGGAGGTAGAGGGAGGCACAGGTGGAAAAGGACCCAGGCAGGGAGCAGCAATGCACACAGGCAGTGTAGCAGCTGAGAACTGGACAGCTGGGGAGGAGACAGAATAATTTAAAAGATAGTGGTAATAACGAGAACAAGGTGTCAGAGAAAGAAAGAAGTCAAGACAAGAGCCCCAAGACGGATTCATTCAATTGCTCTCACTGGCATCCATGGTTCCCTGCACCCATTTCTTCCCAACAAACCCTTAGCCAGAACCAACGCTGTAGTCCAGGGATCAGCAAACTTTTCCTGTAAAGAGTCAGAGAGTAAGTATGTTAGGTTTTGTGGGCCGCATAGCCTTTTAAAAGGTAAAGACAAATCTTAGCTCTGGCAGGTACAGAAACAGGTTGCTGGCGCTGTGAAGTTTGCTTGTCTGCTTCTCTCTCCTTCTGCATCAGAACGCTGCTGAGAAAAGCCCGACAAGTGGAGACATTTCTAGTGTGTTTGACACCCAGAAAGGATCATTTTTAACACTCTCCTCCTCCACTGAACCAAAATTATTTTTAGTAATCATCATATAATAGTCACTAATAATCATTGTTTTCTTACTTGTTCTTCTGTTTTAAAATAACTAATTAAAACAAGAATGGATTACATAGGATATTATAGGTATAGTATATATATATATACTATATAGAATCTATAGGATTATAAATATATATACTATATAGAATCTATAGGATTATAAATATATATACTATATAGGATATATAGGATTATAAAGGATATTATATAAGTTGAGTAAAATATTTCATGTGTTAACTAAAAAGGTCACTTTCCAAACCAAAGATTTTCACCTCACAGTCTTACACTCCGATTCACTATTTTAAATTTTAAGCAAAACTAAAATCTCCAGGTGGGCCAAAAGAGTGACAGAAGTGAAATAGCTCGGGTCCTGGTTCTTTGTCTCAGTGAGCATTGTGCTGACATAGTTTGTCTTGAATGTCCTGTTACAGGCAGAGTGTGTAGTGTCTCAGGGGTCTGCAGACACAGATTGTGCTGAAGGGAGCTCTAGCAATATCAAACTCTTTGGAGCTTACTCTTGAAACTAATGCATATAGCTGGGGCTACACATGTGCCGGGGCCAACTATAAAACCAGGAGTTCTCTGAAATAACTTCCATGTAGAATACCATGTTTTCAAAGGAGGAGTCGTAAAAACAGACTTATGTGAAGTGTACATATATATCATCAAAACTCAACGTAATTGTTTGTAACAGACCAGCAAAACGTTTTTTCAGGGAGGCGTATTTTATTAGTGCCATCATCTAAAATTGCAAATATAGTGATAAAAATTAAAAAAAAAAAAAAAAGAACTTTTAATCGTTTGTTGTTTTTAAGTTCTCTGTACAAGTCGCTCCCACAAGGCTCTGGGGCAGAGTGCTCCCTGGCTCTGTCCTCAATGCTCCACTGCCCACAGCCAGGCAGCGGAGCCCTGCAGAGCTCAGCTTGACCTTTGGAACTGCCCAACAATCATTTCCATTTGTAAGCAACAGTCTTCTCCATTATCCTGAGCACTGAGGCCCCTCCACAACCTTCATCCTCCTCATCCTCAGCCAGTGATTTAACTTCCTACTTCACCAAAGAAATTAAACCATCAGCGGTGCCTTTCCATCCTGCTGTGTACCATCTTAGCTCCATGCACCCCTCCTTCCTGCAGTCCCAGAGGAGGGTCTCTCTTCCTGATCATGATCAACCCCACCACCTCTGGGATTCATCACCTTCCTTCCTCCCTCCGGCCTCACCCTCCCTCCTTCCTTCCCTCTCTCTCCTTCCTCTTGCTCCTTATCCTCAGTTTTTATACACACATTTAATTCTTATCCTAAAAAAGACAGAAAGAACAAAAGAAAGGGGAAGAAAGAAAAGAAAAAGAAAAATCTCCCCTTGACCTGGCATCATGCCCCCTCTGGTTCCATCCAGTCTCCTTCCTCTCATCCAAACATCTTGAGAGGAGGATATATGCAAAACACCAATCTCATTATGTCTCTTCCTCACGTAAATTCAGCCAATGGCTGTTCATTATTGCTTGGGATTGAGTGTCCCCCAAAACATGACTCCCACTGTGACAGTGTTAAGAGGGTGGGTGTAGTGGATTGGATTATGTTCCCCCAAAACTCAATAAGGCTTGAATTGTGTCCCCCAAGTTTTATGCATTAGAAACTTAGACCCCACTGTGACTGTTAAGAGAGTGGGAAATCCTCATATGGTAATTGGAGGGTGGAGCCTTAAAGAGGTGATTGGATTATAGGACTATGCAGTAGTGAATGGATTAAAAATGGTGGTCAGGGGCGTGGTTCTGAGGGCTTTAAAAGAAGAAGAGAGTCTGTCTGTCTGTCTCTCTCTGCTTTCTCTCTGCTCTCTGCTTCCACCATCTTGCAATGTGAGACCCCTGGGTCACTGTCGCCACCACCAGATGGACTTTGGACTTCCCAGCCTGACAAACTGTAAGCAATAAACTTTCTTATAAATGACCTAGTTCTAAGTATTTTGTTATAAGCAACAGAAACAGACTAGTACATTGGGAAATCCTACTATGGTAATTGAAAGGTGGGGCCTTGAAGAGGTGATTAGATTGTAGGACCATGCCGTAATGAATGAATTAAAAGTGGTGGTCATGGGCATGGTTCTGAGGGCTTTGAAAGAGGAGCATGAAGAGTCTCTCTCTCTCTCTCTCTCTCTCTCTCTCTCTGCTCCACCATTTTCTGCCATGTGAGACCCCTATATTGCCGTAAAGCCACCACCAAAGAAGGCTCTCACCGTAAGTGTTCCCTGGACATTGGACTTCCCAGCATCTGAAACTGTAAGCAATAAATTTCATTTTCTTACAAATCACCCAGTTCCGTGTATTTTGTTATAAGAAACAGAAATGGACTAATAAATTATGGATAAGATAAACTCCAAGCTCTTTATTTGGTACACAAAGCCCTGCCTACCTGGTAATCTCACCTCTTGACCTGTATGTCATTGTAGCATCCAAACTCCTTTAGTCTGATATCCTATTTTCCAAGTAATTTTCTAGTAATTAATTAAGTTTCCCAGGTAAATGTTGGGAATGGGGGCGGGTGGAGGGGGTAAAAGTATGTGCATTGTATAGTCAGATGTAAGTATCATATTATTAGAAAGCTGTGTCTCCCACTGTAAAGTAAGAAACTGGCCTGCTACTTTGTCAGTCCCTCCTGAGTCGGGTCTATATGAACTAGTACCCCAAGGTCAATCCACTCTGTCCATACTGAACAAACTGAGCACTTGGACCCACAAAAACTGAGAACTAGATCTTCTGCCAGAGGCCCCACCAAGGTGACACTTCTTCCTTCTCTGACATCTTTCTTGTCACCTGTCAGTATCTGTCTCTGAAAAGGAGACAGGGTATAGGCATTGGAGTCAGGAATAGCTGATTGAAATCCTGGTTTCCCATCTCGCCACACCACATACTGGCCATGAGACCTTGGGAAAGTCACTTCACTTCTCTGAGTCTATTTCCAAGATTATACGTCAATTTTTGTGTGTGTGTGTGGCTGGCTAGTACAAGGATCCAAACCCTTGACCTTGCTGTTATAACACTGTCTCCTAACCAACCGAGCTAACCGGCTAGCCTATGTGTTTCCAAGATTATAATACTTACAGAAGGATGGCTGTAAAGATGAAACAGGTACCACAAAAGCACTCGATCCCATGAAAAAGTAAGGAGTGTTCCCAAATCCACATAATGACAACGATTAATCTGAGGTCTGATGTGATGTGGGAGCCACTTTGGTCATGATGGGGAGGTCAAAGTGTCCACAGAAGATGAACAGATTTTTTGTTTTGATGTTCAGTGAAGTTGTTATGTGTATTTCAGAAACATCTTGGAAGATGTATACAAGTCATGAAGAAATTGGGTACGATTTTGAAGATGACCCCAAGGATAAGAAGACACTTAAGCCCCACCCAGACATTGACGGTGGATGGGCTTGGATGATGGTCCTTTCCTCTTTCTTTGTGCACATTCTCATCATGGGCTCCCAGATGGCGCTGGGCGTCCTCAACGTGGAATGGCTGGAAGAGTTCCACCAGAGCCGCGGCCTGACCGCGTGGGTCAGCTCCCTGAGCATGGGCATCACCTTGATTGTGGGTATGTTCACGTATGATCTGTTGTAAAACTGAAAAATTATAAAATGACGATTCCCCTCTGTAAGTGATGTTTTATATTGTGGAAATATTAGATGTTAGTAATGGTACTATTGTTTTAATTTTGTAAAATAAGCATAATATAAATTTACTATTTTAACCGTTTGTAAGTGTACAGTTCAGTGCTGTTAATGATTCATGTCATTGTGCAACCGTCACCACCCTCTGTCTCCAGAACTTTTTTCATCTTCCCAAACTGAAATCTCTGTCCTCGTTAAACACTAACTCCTCATTCCCACCTCCCCCAGCCTCTTGTCCACCACATGCTATTTCCTGTCTCTATGAATTTGACTCTTCTAGGTACCTTATGTAAGTGGAATTATACAGTATTTATCCTTTTGCATGATATGACTATTTGAATGTTATAAACATTTGGAGTATTTTAAAAATTGATTCTTTAAAAAATTCTTTTTTGCCCCAAACTCTCTTTTCTTAGCAGTAATAATTCATTATCTATCATTACAAATTTCTGCTTATTTAACATTTATGCATATTTTTAAAGGATAGAAATTTTAGACAAAACACTGTAAAAGTCAAGTAATAACCTTATATCAGAATTCTCTTAATTAGAAATATTATTGACCATATGTTACTGAAAAATCTATTAAACTGTTTTTAGGAAACTTACAGGAACAAATAATAATATACGAGTCTTCTCATATTTTCTAGTTAATCGCAACCACACAGCAATCTACAAAGCCAATTCTTATATGGTTGGAAATGTTAAGTCAGGAAGTTATTATAAATATAAGTTATTATGGCTAAGAAAAACTGCTGATAGAACACTTAAAATCCCGCTTTCTTACCTTTTTTAAAAATATATTTTTGGAGAGGAGGAGGAGGGAAAGAGGGGAAAGGGAGGGTAATTGCATAAGGGGCATAAAGAATAAGTATGATTTGTAACAGTGAATATGCTAATAAAATATAAATTAAAAAATATATATATATTTTAAGGGGTAGAACAAAACATATAGATTCAATCTAGGAAGTTTGTACATGAAAAAAATAACACACAAAAAAAGACTCAGACAAAGGCCAGGAGGTATAAAATGTCTCAATATTTTCCAAACTATCCAATAAGGTGATCTTAGATATTATTGTGTGTTTCACAAGTTCTGTAAAAATAAGCAGTGGAATCTAATCTTGAAATTATTAGGTATGGCTTTTGAAGATGACCCCCCAAATACCTAACTCATAGTGATGGTGAGCTCTGATGGTTGTCCTTAATTTAACTAGGAGGTAACTGTGTGTTTGGAATTCTGTTTGAGACTCCCTGAATTCCAGAGAGTAGAATTTCAGATTGTAGACTAATATTTCTACAGGAAAATATGCATGCCAGATAAACATGTTTTGCCCTGGACCTCAGAGATCTTAACGTAGCAGGGCTCATAGCTATTCAAGGGAACTTCAAAGAGTTCATGGAAAATGAAATTAAAATATAAAAATTAAAAATATAAACTTTATTTCTCAACATAAGCTACCCCAAGTTCAAGACACTTTTGCAAGCAATGATACCAGTCATTTAGTGTGAGGATACAAACAAGATCAATTTTTTCCTTGCAAATTGATGTGGATAGTCTGCCACTATAGGCTTGAATGTTGTCTCATTCCTTCTTAAAATGAGTTATCCATTTGTATGCTGCTGATTTATTTAGGGCACTGTCCCCATAAACTTTTCATAAAGCATCAATGATTTCACGATTCTTCCACTCAAACTTCACCATAAATTTGATGTTTATTCTTGCTTCAAATTTAGCAGAATTCATGTTGCTCTGATAGGGGCTCTTCTCAAACTGATGTCTTTTTCTTCTTAGTGCCTCAACCTAGATCCTGTTCAGAGATGTTATAACAAGTTAGTGTGAGTTTATTTTGGTGCAAAAAAAATTTTGCAATGCATGCAGATTTTTCATAATGTGTATTTTCCATGAACTTTTTGAAGACCCCTCATACAAATGAATGGTTTTTATTCTGTTGTGACCTTGAATTACTGTTCATTATCCTAAGCTTCCTGGTATAGGGTGCCTGCAGATACTTTGAGAAACATGAGGGAATTTTCCAGCCAGAGACCAGCAGTACCAGTTCTCCTTAATTTAGCACGTGCTACATGCCAAGCGCATGTTATGTATGTAATCTCATTTGATCCTGCAACAACATTGGAGGCCAGATCATCATCTCTGTCTTACCAAGGAAGAACAGGCAACACTCAGAGACATGAAGTAACTTACTGAAGGTTGAACAGCCAGTAGGTGTAGGACGGGCTTCAAACCTGGTCCGTTTGACTCCAAAATTGAGTCCACTAGACACACTGCCGGCCACTATATCAAATGAGAATTGAAAATATATTTGAAGTGAATAAATATAAATTGTTTTTATTTTCTAGTCATTGAAGCACATTTGGGTTACCTCTTTTCAATTAGAAAAAACACTATGTTACAGTCGGTGAAAGCCATCTCCATCTTGGGCAGTGATTTGCACATGGTAAATTCAACAAATATGCATTTTTTCATTCTTTACTAACATGGATTTGCCAGTGTCCTGCAGGAGGTTCCAACTTTTAACAAAATATTGTCCCTCATTTGTATGTACAGCAGCGTTTTGATGATAGCTCTCCCAGTAATTCTTGGTGAGTGCCATATTGTTAGGGGAATCTATAGACTGCAAAAGATCATTTACTTGCTAGGTAGATTTAGAGCAGTGGTTGCCAATCTTGGCTGTACATCAGAACCACCTGGGGAGCTTTTAAAAACCCCTGAAGCTTGGGCTGCACTGGACTATTAAGTTAGAATTTCTTGGGATAGGACCCAAATATCAGGATTCGTTGTTGTTAAAGCTCATAAGTAACCCCAACATTCAGCCAAGACAGAGAGCCATTGACTTTGAGGATCCTTACTCTTTACTGCAGTGAGGGATTAACCCAAGAGACCTGGAGTTCAAAGAACCTCCTTTCATCCCCGAGCGCTGCCAAGGCCCACGTCAGATTGTTCCTCTCCTTCCCTGAACTTTTTTCAACCTATCAGGTGGTGGGATAGGCAAACTGTGATGACTTCCTGAGGGCATTCCCTGCAGCAAAATGACACTTTATTATGTGGGAAATAATCCAAGATTCAGATTCCTTCTGAAGAGGAAAAAGTCTGATAGTGTGTATAACCTCATTCCAAAACACTGAATTACTCTACAAAAGTGTGAGGCAGAGTCACAGGACTGTATCTGGGTTGCGTTATTCCCCCTTCTTAGATTGGGGGGTGGGGGGTTGGTTCTTTTTATTTTGTTGAAATGGCAGTTGGGTCTTTGGAGATGCCTGCTGACCTTCAGTGACAATGGTTAGAAAATTGAAAATCAGAAAGCTTGGATCTGAATTCTGGTTTTTTTTTTTTGTTGTTGTTGTTTTCCACGTATATGTTTTGTAACTATGGAAGAGACACAGCATTTCTAGGTCTGACTTTGCCCATCTGCAAATCGTGAATGGCTGAAGTTCCAGCATGGAAGAGCTGATTAACTAAAAAGCCAGACACTGTTACCCACTTAATGATTTTGTCAGTAAAGGAGTTAATACTTTTATTTATAAAATTCATCCAGACATGAACATTTGCATTCATTGGGAATTTCCTCCTTTTCTTCCCTCAAGTGCCTTCTTAATGCAATGTTTCTTAAACATACCGGTATCTCAGAAAAACTTGCTTCTGGGCCCTTTTTGTAATGTGGAAAATATGACCGTGCTACTGAACTGTGATCTGTTGACCTTTCAAAGGGCTATTAACAGCAAACCAACAAGTCNTTTTTTTTTTTTACATATTAACTGAAGAAAAATGGGCGCCCTTTAAAGATTTTTTAAGATTGGGAAACAAAAAGAAGTCAGAAGGAGCCAAATCAGGACTCTAAGGTAGATGCTTAATGACTTCCCATTGAAACTCTAGCAAAATTGCCCTTGTTTGATGAGAGGCATGAGCAGGAGCACTGTCACTGTTGAGGGGGACTCTCTGGTGAAGCTTTTGTGGGTGTTTTTCTGCTAAAACTTTGAACAACTGTCTGAAAATACTCGCATAATAAGCAGATGTTATCATTCTTTGGCCCTCCAGAAAGTCAATAAGCAAAATGCCTTGAGTACCCCCCAAAATTGTTGCCTTTGCTGTTGACCAGTCTGCTTTTGCTGTGACTGGACCACTTCCACCTCTTGGGAGCCATTGCTCTGATTGTGTTTTGTCTTTAGAATTGTACCAGTAAAGCCATGTGTTTTTTTTTTTTTGCTTGTTTGTTTTGTTTTTGGTGGCTGGCCGGTATGGGGATCCACGCCCTTGATTGTAAAGCCATGTTTTATCCCCTGTTCAAAGAAATGCTTCAGGATCTTGGTCCCACTTGTTTAAAATTTCCATTAAAAGCTCTGCTCTTGCCTGCAGCCGATCTGAGCTCAATAGTTTGGCCACCCATTGAGCAGAAAGTTTGTTCAACTTTAATTTTTTAGTCGGAATTATGTAAGCTGAACCAGTTGAGATGTCTATAGTGTTGGCTATTGTTTCTGCTATTAATCGTTGGTCCTCTTCAGTGAGGATACAAACAAGATCAATTTTTTCCTTGCAAATTGATGTGGATAGTCTGCCACTATAGGCTTGAATGTTGTCTCATTCCTTCTTAAAATGAGTTATCCATTTGTATGCTGCTGATTTATTTAGGGCACTGTCCCCATAAACTTTTCATAAAGCATCAATGATTTCACGATTCTTCCACTCAAACTTCACCATAAATTTGATGTTTATTCTTGCTTCAAATTTAGCAGAATTCATGTTGCTCTGATAGGGGCTCTTCTCAAACTGATGTCTTTTTCTTCTTAGTGCCTCAACTTAGATCCTGTTCAGAGATGTTATAACAAGTTAGTGTGAGTTTATTTTGGTGCAAAAAAAATTTTGCAATGCATGCAGATTTTTCATAATGTGTATTTTCCATGAACTTTTTGAAGACCCCTCATACAAATGAATGGTTTTTATTCTGTTGTGACCTTGAATTACTGTTCATTATCCTAAGCTTCCTGGTATAGGGTGCCTGCAGATACNGTGCTACTGAACTGTGATCTGTTGACCTTTCAAAGGGCTATTAACAGCAAACCAACAAGTCATGCATTTTTCACTTTTATACCCACTCATCCAAGTTTGGCGTGGTCAGGTGACCACAGGTTTAGAAAAATAAAAATGTGTAAAGAAATCAAAGAAATATCTTCAACTTATGGTATCTGAATTTCAGTTACCCCCAATAATTCCCTCAGATGTTTATATTAATGTGCTTATTTTATATATTATTTATATAATGTGCATATTTCATAAATATATAGCATTTATATAAAATATATTTAATATATTAAGTCTATCTAAGAAATTCATCTAGTGAATTATTTCCTATAATGCAACAGGGTTAATTAAATTAATGTCTTTAACTTCATAATTTTTAGAAACAGTCACTCTCAAAACCACTACACAAAAAAAATCTCATTAGCAGACTGTGTACCCAAATATTCACATGAATGTAGTTACAACTTTAAAGGAAAATTTTATTTCAGTTTGGGCTAAAAGGGGAAGCTGTTTAGAGTTCAATAACTTTTTAACTTGATACAGTCCCACCTGAATATAGGATTTCATAACTATGTAAAGTAATAATGATCAAAATAAGATGACGTTTAAAATGTGCCATCTTAACTGAATATTGAATACTGTCTCATATTGAGTTGTTAAAATCTGGATTGCTATTTGAACAAGGAATTGTTGATTGTAAGGCAAGCATTCAGTTTCAGTGACATTAGAAATTACCCCTAAAATCAAGAAGATAATAAAGAGGGTTGACGATTAAA